GAGCCGGAGCGCGGAGGAGCCCACAACTGAGCGGCTGCAAAGCAAACTGCAGGTGCTGGGGGACAGATCCTGCGGGGGGATGGCCTCTTCCTGCTGGGTGCTGGGCACCCCCTGGCCTCAGCAGCATTCGTGCGGCCTTCGCTCCATCGGCATTGCTGGGGGGGTCGTGCACTTGTTAATTAGGGCTCTGTGCACAGCCTGTGGGCTGGGTTCAGGGTCCCTTGCTCATGCTGGGGCATGACACTTCCTCAGCCAAAGGTGGCACCTGCTCTGGTTTTTGGCTTGCTCACAGGCATGAAATCTGTGTTCCGTGAGCCCTCGGGCCGCTGTCTAAGCCCTCTGCATCCCCAGAGTGGGTTTCTGGGCAAATGTCTCCCCTCCCTGGTACTTGGGGCCTCACAAACACACCTAAAGCCTCTGGCACTACGTTCCCAGCAGGCAGATAAGGCGCTTTGCCCTTAGCCACGGGACTCCCCAGCAGCTAAGCCAAGAGCCGACCTCCTCCGGAGTGCTGGGACTGGTGGGGCCCCAGAGCCGGGCGAGGAGGGTGAGCTCAGCCTGGTTCTGCTGTTGCAGCTGAGCTTTTTTTTCCTTGCTGTAGTTCAAGTCCACCCCGGACCTGCTGCGGGACCAGCGGGAGGTCGCCCAGCCTGGCAGCAGTGAGCACACCAAGGAGCTCATCTACGGCATCCTGAAGGAGGGGTGAGCTCCCCTAGACCTGTCCCTCAAGCGGCCTGTCCCGCTGAACGCCCTGGCCTATGGCTCCAGTGGCCACCACCACCGTTCCCTGCCCTTTTTTTTTCTGGAAGCATCAGCTGCTGAAGCTGTGATGTTGCAGGGCTGTTAGGGACCAGAGATGCTCTTGTAGCCACTATACGGGTTGCCCATGTCCCAGCGTCTGTGCAGAGCAGGGCAGTTGATGCCCAGGAGTTTGGGGGAAGACAGTAGCAGTGTTGGGTTGTTCCTGCCTTCCTGGGCCTTTCTGTCTTCCCGTTCCATCCCCTCTGCCTTATCCCAGCACTTTCCCTCTGCTCTGATGTCTGCAGGAGCAGAGACAGCGAAATATCCCTGAAGAGGAAAACTAATCTGGTGTTTGAGAAGATCCAGGAACTTGCAGTGAGTTGAAGTAGTCCCGCTGCTGATCCCCACCTCATCCGCTCTGTGGCACCTTGCTTCTGGGGCACGCTGGTCCCTGAGTCCTCCTGGGGACTCTCTGTTCCCCTGGCTTCCTGGCACCCTCTCCCCACACACAGTGATCCTGGCCATGCCAGGCCAAGGACAAGCCATGGCCAGGAGTTCTTCAACTCAGGGCCCTGCAGCAAGGTGCTCCCTGCCACAGCTGAGCTCCGCCTGTGGCTTTCCCCGCTGTGGGACCCCATGTGCCAGCTGCTCTGTGGAGCAGGCCCTCGCGGGCTCCTTGTGCCGAGCTCTCGGCGGCTGCGGCTCCCCTCCAGCCTTGATGGGCTGCGACGTGACAGCTTGCCAGCTGCCTTGGGCTCAAGGCTTTGCTGGGTGGAGCTGCTGCCTGGTTTTTCCTCCTGATCTTCAACCCCTGGCAGCCCACAGGAGCTGTGCTGCTGCCCTGCATGCTTGGCGGAGCTTACTGGCTGTGGGGGCCTTTCTAGAGGTCACGTTGCCCCTCTGTGTGCTGCATCTCCCAGAGTGTCTCAAGGGGCTGGGGAGCAGGCAGAGAAGGCAGCTGCATTTGGGCAGAAGCTGCTTCCTGGCCAGGCTTAGCAGGGGGGAAATGATGCAGGAGAAGGGCAGCATGCTCCCGAGCCCTCTGTGCAGAGCTGCATAATCTGGGAGCCACTGTGCTCTGAGCTGTCCGAGCACCTCATCACTGCCGAGGTGCTTCTCTTAAACTAGCTGGAGATTGAACATGGGAAGGAATAGTCTTGCAGGGGTTGGACTGGAGACGCTGGTGGAAACATGGCTAGGGCATCCCCATGCTGCTCCAGCCCTCCTCAGCGAGAAAGAGCTGGGAATTGAACCGCCATCCCAGCCCGGCTGAGCCATGGCTGGGGGGGCTGGCAGTGCCCTGAATGTGCCCTGTTTTCCCCAAGGGGTCTCTCCAGGCACTTGCCAAGGATGTGGCCTGCTCTCAGCCCCAGCACAGCGAGCTGGCAAGGAAGGTGGAGGAGCTGCAGGAGAAGCTCGATGAGGAAACTAAGGTGAGGCTAGGCAGAGGGTCGAGGTGACTGGGGTGTTCAGGGTGACAGTTTGTATCCCCGTGGGGAGCTCATGCAGTGGGGCTTTTGCACTGGAGCCGGCGAGGATGCTGGGGCGATGGACGGGTCACTGGCCACTTTCCTCCACCGCAAGGACATAACTGCTTTCCCCCTTCCAACAGCTCCGCCAGAAGCTTGAGCTGGCAAGGGATCCAGCAAGGATGGGCTCTGCTCGGGCACTAGAGACCCGGCTGCGGGAGGCACAGGAGGAGAGCCAGCAGCTCCGGGCAGCCCTGGAGAAGAAAGCTCAGGAGCTGCAGAGCAGTTTGCAAGAGTAAGAGCTGCTCCTGGGGGGGGGGCTCTGGGGCCAGGACATGCTCAGCTTGCTCATCTGCTGCTGTGGTCTGCATCTGCAGGACCAAACATGCCTGGCAGGGGATATTCACCTGCATCATGCAGCAGGGGGCCCCACATGGTAATCACTCTGCAGTGAGGGTTTTTTTTTTTTTGGCAGATCTGAGGACCTAAACTGCCCTAAGTGCTCTTACAGGTTACCAGGAGAGGGGGTTTTAAGGCAAGAGGGTGGGGGGGGGGGGATCAGGAATCACTGGTGGAGGGTGATGTCAGGGCACTGGGGATGTTTGAAGATACTAAGCTGCAGGGACAGGGCATGGTGACAAGTGGGTGCTGGAGCCCTGGCCCTTTGTGGTACAAACGTGGCCTGGGTCTCCCTGCCTTTTAAAAGGGGTCCTGCTGGACTGTGAACAGTTTCACGCTCTTTCCTTAGGTTGACTGACGTGAAAATAGCCAAGGAGCAGGCGGAAACCCGTCTGGGGGACTGTGAAGAGCAGCTGATAATGATGCACACAGAGCTTGACCAGCTGCACAAGGGCTCTGGGACATCTCCAGACAGGGAGGCTTTATACAAGGTATATGCTGCTTGCACTGGAGCACTGTCCCCACATCCCAGGCAGTGGATGCATGCTGCGCTGTCTCCGCTGGGCTCCGACGCTGAGCTCAGGGGGCCTCTCTGTGACCCAGGAGCTGCTGGAAACCCGGGAGGAGCTGGAGGAGGTGCTGAGCTCCAAGCAGCGGCAGGAGGAGCACTTGCGGCTGCGGGAGCGGGAGCTGACGGCGCTGAAGGGAGCCCTCAAGGAAGAGGTGGCCAGTCATGACAAAGAGCTCGACCGCGTGCGGCAGCAGTACCAGAGCGACATGGACCAGCTGAGGCGCAGCATGGAGGACGTGTCGCAGGTCCGGCTGCGGGGATGGGCGCCCAGGGAGACCCTTCCCTAAATTCTCCCCTTTAAATGTTCCTGAGCTGGAAATGGGTTTTGCCTCCTGCCCCAAACTTGCCCCAGTGTCCCTTGGAGCATCTATCTGCCCTGGCTCTCCCTGCCCCAAGGCAGTGGAGCTGGGAGGTGAACAGAAGCAAGCATTGCTCTCCAACAGGTTTGTGGAGGTGTGGAGGGTCCCCAGGTCCTTGCACAGCTTCTCTGGGCTGGTTTGGGCAGTGTTAACCATGGCAGGACCTGAGCATCCTTAGAGGGCAGATGCAGAGCTCTGGGGCTCCTGCCCCCAGGCACAGCCTGCCCGAACGCCTCTGCTCTGATGGCGAACGCTCAACCGTTCGATCGTGCCCGCCAGGATCAGGCCAACCTGGAAACAGAGAGGCAGAAAATCAATGCTGTGGTGAGGAACTTGCAGCGGGAGCTGAAGGAGAGTGCAGAGGAGACGGGGCACTGGCGGGACATGTTCCAGAAGAACAAGGACGAGCTTCGCACTACGAAGCAGGAGTAAGTGCAGGAGGAGGAGGCTTGTGCCCCTCCAACGTCTTTCCTGCAAACCCTGTGGAAATGGGTCAGCAGCTGGGAAGGGACAGGCTCTCTTCTTCCTCCTCTGAGCACCTGGGGTGGAAGAAGACGGCTGGAGAGACATTGCATTGCAACACCCATGTTGTGGCATGCTGGGACCCAGGGAACGGCAGTGGGCAAACGGCTTGTGCAGGGTGCAAAGGTGGTGGCAGGGATGACCAAGGGTCAGCTGTGTCCCCTGTGAGGAAATGGCCCTCATCCTGCCCCCTCCAGGCTGTTGCAGGTGAAACTGGAGCGGGAGGAGTTCGAGGAAGAGCTGCGGGAGCTTCGGGAGCGCTTCTTGGCCATGCGGGAGGAGGTGGACCAGGTGCGGAGCAGCACGGTGGACACCAGTGAGCTTGAGGCGCTTAGAAAGGTAGGTAACAGCGGACAGAGGGAGGAGACACAACTCTGGAGACCCCGAACCAGACAGCCAGCATAGTCATCCTACTTAACCCTGGGCTAATCCTGCCCACTCTGCAAAGCCTGGGGGGCCGATCCCACATCACACCCAGGAGGATGCAGTCTCTTGCCCCAAGCCTGGGCCATACAAAGGGTCCCTGCCCATCACTTCTCCCATCCAGGAGCTGCACCAGGCCCGGGAGATGCAGCAGGAGCTGACAGTGGAGAAGCAGGCTCAGGATGAGCTGCTGCGCCAGCAGGAGCAGGAGCTGGCAGCCCTGAAGGGCACCATGCGGCAGGAGGCATCCAGCCACGACGAGGCACTTGAGCAGTACCGGAAGGACCTGCAACAGCTCCAGAAGGAGTGTGATGAAGCTACAAAGGTGAGTGATGGCGCTGGGGGAGGGTGGTTGTCTCTACTGAACCATGAGCCAAGGAGCCAGCCCCACTGTGGCCTGTGCTCGCTTTGATGGGACTCTTCATACCTTTGTGGGAGCCACAAGTTTTGCAGCTGTGGGGTGATATGACAGACTCATAGCCCCAGATCCACCTGCCACAGGTGGCTCCCAGGCTGTGCTGAAGGATGCAAGCCCGAAAAGCCCCCCAGAGCCCCTCTGTGCCTCAGCTGGCCCTAGGACCACCCCATGCCATGGCTGTGTTGCAGGCGAAGGCCTCCCTGGAGAGTGAGAGGGAGTCAGTGGAGCAGGCAAGGAAGGTGGTGGAGTCCACCCTGCGGGAGCTGCAGGAACACAATGATGACCTGCGGAGGAAGATCCTTGGCCTGGAGACGCAGCTGAAGGAGTATGAGCGCTTGGGCGAGAACTGGGAGGGTTCCCAGGCACGGCTCAAGGAGAAGGTCACCAAACTGGAGGTATGGAGACTGCAGTTGTCTTTGCCACCCCCTCACGCCTCTTGGCTGAAGGCCAGGAGCAGCCCAGTGCCAGAGGAGGACCAAGGCATCTGGGGCCTGAGAGTTGTTCCTCTGCTTTGGGGAGGAGGGAGTTGCGTGTTTTAAGAACCTTGTCTTTGCAGACCGAGCGCAGGCAAATGGAGGAGTCGCTAGGTGAAGCCACAGACCGGGAGCAGGAGCTGCTGATGGCCAAGCGCTCACTGGAGACCCGCTTGGACGAGGCACAGCGGAGCCTGGCCCGACTGACGCAGGAGCACCAGGAGCTAAGTGTGTCCTACCAGGACGAACAGAGGCAGAAGGAGCAGCTGAAGCGCGCCAAGAATGAGCTGGAGGAGCAGAAGCGCCTGCTTGACCGGACCACGGAGAAGCTGAGCAAAGAGGTTGGGGTGCCTGGGTGCCCCAGGGGGCCCCATCCCATGGGGTGTTGCATACCATGACACTCTGTCTCTGTGCCACGGGCTCAAGACATCTATCTGAGACGCCGGTAGCTAAATTAGGGGAGGGAACCAGGACTCCAGGGCTCTGCCTCCAAGTTCGGGCATGGAGCAGGGATCTGATTTCCCTA